GAGTAGCCGTTCCCACGGGTTCTGCATATTGCCTGATTTTGGCACGGGTTTGGGAGGCAGGGGTCCGGAGTCTGAGACAGCTTGTCAGGGGACGCACCTAGAGCATGATGTGTTATTTAATATCAAACTTTGAAGATGTTCTCCTTTACTGGAACACATTCAAGATTCTTCATTTAGCAAAGCATACACCTTTGTAAAAAGAGTGAACATTGATCTGGCATTTCACCAACAAGGACCGCTTTCATTAAATCTTTTAAAAATATCCTATAATTTAGTCACAACAGTCAGAACACACAGAAGTAGTCCCAACTCTTCCAGACATGAATGATCCTGTTAGTTTCATAGTTTTTTTAGAAACCATGAAAGCTTTTAAAATAGTCACTAACTGGTTACCTTTAAATATTGTTTAATGTGTTACATTTAAACTGTATACCTGTCGTTTTATTTCAGTGGAAACACCTTGAGGTGGTTTCATCTAAGAGGAGAGTTTGTTTCATTTATGTTTTTTCCTGAAACCAAAGAACGTGGTAGAAGAAAAGATTGTAGAATCCATATTACTTATTAACAAGACAAAACAGGCGCGCTTCCCAAAGTCTGCTTCTGATTGGTTGATTAGCACCTTGTGATGACTCCTTCACCTACAGCTGCTCTACGTTCTGGCACACAATCAGAGAAACAGAACCAGTGAAGCCTTTCGCTTTTTTGTCTAAGATGGTGGAACATTCCTGCAAGATACAAATTTTGTATTTTCTCCATATCTGCGACATATTAAGGGACTTTCTTTCTGAGTCACAAGTATTTGAATCCAAAGTGTGGAACCACTAAAATATCCAAATTCCTTAATGAAAGTTCATTTTTAACTCTTCATCTTTGCTGTATAATTGTGTTAATTTTAGTATTTAATTTAGGGTTCATCTGCCCAACGCTCCTTCTTCCACATGGTCGCTGTGTTCTCTATATGAAGCGTTTTGCAAATTACAAACAGGTTTTCTTTTGGTTGTTTTAGCAATATTGTGTCTTTTTGCAGGTCTTCTGTAATTGCTGGATTTGTGGACTGCATGACTAAAGGCCAATACAAACTTCACGAGAACAAAAAAAAACAAAAAACAATGTGTTCGTTCTCCCAGAGCAGCAACGAACAAAACATAATTCTGAAGATGTTATTTTCAGAATGATGGCCAGAAAATGAGTGAAAAAGAAAACAGATCTGAGGGAAGGCTTGTCTTCAGATGTACTGAAGTGCTGCTCTCTGTTGGGTGACAATCAGCCTGCGCTTTCCAAACGCCCTCAAAGTATCACATGAATATCAAAAGGAGAAAAGACCATTTATAAAGTGTGATTTACATGACTAATGCAAGAAAAACTACTAAGAGGGAACGAATTGTTAAGATGTTTCAATAATCATGCAAAATAATCAACCTTCAAGAGTGCAATCAGTCTGAGAGACATTTAAGATGAAGAACAGTCCGATCTCCATCTCAGAGACCAATCATCTGAATTTAATGGAGGTCAAACAATTGTACAAAGGACCAGCTGGTTTCTCCAGAAGCTGCTATTTGTGTCTTGATTCAGAATATGTTGGCGATTGATGAATTGACCATACCTGTGTTAACAAGAAGGACCAGATGGTACATTCATTACATGTCCATTTTACTTATAAGCACAGTAAAACCTAAATAGTTTGAATGTAATTGTCATTGAGGATGCCTGATTTATTTTTCAGCTGAAACCAGTGATGCTTTGAGACAGAGCTCAGTAACATTCAGAGCACACAGACCCCTCCCGCAGTGTAAGGGCTCCTTCATATGCAAATTACCACTCAGGCTCTTTGTTTGGGCCTATCGAGAGGTCCTCATGTTGGGGACCTGAACACCTCTGTGCTGATACACTTTGGTGCTGTGTGCCTCTGTTTCAGAGGAGATAAGAAAACAGGTATTTATTCAATGTTTTGGAGAGAAGTGGAACAATGAAGAGAAACCTTTTTTGTGTGTGAAATCTCTTCTCCCCAGATTCTCCTGAATCTTTGTGAGGGTCATTGCTGCCCCTTCACTGTTACATCATCTTTTCAACGTGCAGACGCTGTACAGAGCTTAACCCAGCTAATGATGTCATCCGACAGACATGTTATTGAAATTCCAACCATGAATTGGTTCAAATGCATGAAACAAGAATAGAATTACAGGAGATGGGATTAAAACATTTAGAAATTACAAGATTAAAAAGGATTTTATTGGAGAAAAAAAAAGTTGTGACTGCAGTTAGTCAGACTTAGGCTGCAGTTGAAAGCTTCTGACTAAAAAAACTGTAGTGCAAAAAAGCTTGTAATGCTATATATATATAGCATTACATATATATATATATATATATATATATATATATATATATATATATTTCTGAGCTCTTCCTGAGTTAAAATGTTAGCATTGCTGTTTTTAAATGAATATGAACTTGTTTTCTTTGCATTATTTGAAGTCTGAAAGCATGGCATCTTTTTCATTATTTTGATCATTTCTCATTTTCTGCAAATAAATACCAAATTTATTTGGTATTTATCCTATGTCAGTAGTTCATGTCAGTAGTTCATAGGATAAAATAATAATGTTCATTTTACTCAAAGATAAAAAGTAAAATCAGAGAAACTGATCATACTAAGAGGTCTCTGTTTTTTTTTCCTCAGCTGTATATGTCACACTTTATAATGTGATTTTATTTATAATCTCATATTTTTATACTGCATGTATAATTGGGTTTTTTATGTAATTTTACCACGATCAAAATTTGGTTTTGTCACCTGTGCCAAGATTTCCTCTCTATATTTTGTATTTTAAATCATGCAGGTGGGATGTCTATGTATCGTAAAAATGTCTTATTAGCAGAAGCATAAATCAGTGTAAAGCTTGACAACAAATAAGAAAACATGCAACTAATAACAGCTAAAGCACGATCCAGAGAGCAGGACTGAGAGTCACTTACCATCTATTAGAAGCTGCGAAGAAGCAAAAACTATCCAAGTAAGAATGTCAAAACTACCACAGTGAGTAAAATGCATTTTCATGGCGATGAACCATCCTGTTCCTGGTGTAGAAGTCCAGTCATGAGTGGATCTGTCTCCGTGTCTCTGTCTGCAGCTGCTCCGCCGCGGTTGTCAGCGCCAGACCCACTTGATGCGCACTTCTGCGCCCTTCGAGTTGGAGCACCATCCGCAACAGCCTCCATCAGAGAAAACAATTAAAGACTGAAGCGTGGCGCTAAGGGAGGCACGCGCTAACGTGCACGAGCATGCACAAACACAGCGTAGCCATGGAGACGAGCCACGTGGAAGGAATTTTTATTAATCAGGAGATGAAAACAGAGGTAGCTAACTGATGAAGCGCACTAATGTATAAACTATAATAAGTTTCTATTGCAATTCAGAAAATTGCATAAAAAAAATGAGAGGATTTTATAGATTTCAGATTGTAGTCTTCTTAATATCTTTGCCTGGTGGATGTAGAAAATGGGCCATGATGATGGGATACACATTGACTCCCATGTTGTAGTTTGATGCATTAATGTCTGGCAGGAAAATGTCTTTCTGGAGTTCCTCCAGTTTTTCTGTGCACTTCTCAACACTTAACTATTGAATTGTGCTACTTCAACCATTCAACTTCTACCATATTCTGCTCATTCAGGATATTACAGCTATGTCTTTTGGTATTGACATCTTCTACAGTGTATAAAACATTCAGCTTTTTGTAATCATCTTTGGGCCCATTGAAATGAATGGAACATCCCATAATTTCTGAAAAATCTGCTGAAAACTTTGCGCTGTTTCGGTTAAGTGCTTATTCCACCCTTTTCCCAATGTTTACTGCTTGCAGCCTACATTTCAAACCACTGAAAAGATCAACCACAACACTGCTGTGACCAATCAGAGTGATGCTGACCAGGCGAGACATCACCATACCCACAAGATGGACAGGAAATATGAAGCTCCTAGTTCTGTCCACTGGTTTTCTTTAGGAATTGGTGTGTTACAGTCAAGGTCAAATTATATTTTCTTAATTCCAAAAGAAAACTTATTGTTGCGTTTATTACCTATGTTTCTTTACAAGACGTACAATAACGAAGAGTCAATTTATAGACTTAGAAATATTTAATTGTCAAAAGTTTACACCATCAGATATTCATTTTTTAGTGTTATGACGTACAATTTTCTTTCAAACCACATTTAAAAACTTTTTTTTTTAGTATTTTAAATATAACATGTTAAGTAAACATTAAAATATATAGTTGCTACACTACATAAATAATTGAAGGACATCGAAGCTGTTCAAGATTACAGCCACATTGGGCTAGCGTATTTTACAGAATCACCTTGATTTGAAATATTAGAGGTTGTTAGTGAACTTCATTTGGTCTATTAGTTCGTTTGTGTATGAAATCCAGCTGTGATTCAAATGGGTCATCCTCAGTGCACAAAGAAGCATTTAGAAAGTATCACTGAGATATAAATGTTATTTACCACTGCTGGAAAGAAATTTTGAAAGTTTATATTTGCATTTTTAACAGACCCCTCTAAATATTTGACCCCTGTCAAATCATTAAGGTTTATTGCTCCAAATCTTCAGCCATGCTGTAGACAGAAGACCAATATCACACAAAATGTAATTTTCAATGAGAAATTTTAAGTGAAAAGAAGGTGTATGTCTAATTTCTTTCAGTCAAAATGTCTGATATTTAATATGAGACCAGGAGAGAAAGATGAGTGTAGAAGAAATCCCATAAACCAGTAAATCAAACCCCCTTATTCCTAATGCTCAGATTCCTGCTTGCATCACCATCTTTCACACGGTGGGATCAAAAGATTGCTTTTAGGTAAATATTTACATAACATTTTTTGCATCTTTTTCAGACAAGAGAAAGTCACTGGGTTAATTTTAAGCAGATCAAGGGCTCAGGCTGTCATGTTTAGCTACTTGTTAAAAAAAAAGAATTGAAACGCCATGTTTCAGTATTCTTTTTAAAAGATTTGGTAACACTACACACTGCAGTTCTTTCTGTACTCGAACTCAGGAGTCAGTCTTGGGAACTTTCCAACAAACATACTTGATGCTGGAACCTTCTTGAAGTTTTTCAGTTACTTTCACATAAACATTTTGAGAACTTACAAGGTAATTTGCAGGAAAGTTTCCCATAACTTACCAGGTACTTACTTTAGGGTTTCCAGAACTTATCCGTTACTTTCCCAGAATCTATCAGGTCCTTTCTTTAACTTCACCATTCAGGAACTTACTAGATCCCTTTTGACAAACTTTTTTGGAACGTTCTGGTTACTTTGTGGGGCTTTGCAGTTTGCTTTCCCAGGACATACTATGTATGTTCCTGGAACTTAGTGGTAAGTTTTCAGAATGTACAAGGTGTTTTCCTGGAAGTTTCCTAAAGTTAAACTGACCAGGTACTGTTCCAAATCCTTTAGGAAATGTCCTGATTACTTTCCCAGAACCGAGAAAGTACTCTTATGAGAATAATTAGTACAAAGTAGGTTGCAGAAAAGTACATAATAAGTAGAATCAGCTTCCTGAATATTTCAGGAAAGTAACCTCTCACTCTTCCACTTGCTATAGGATCTGGGATGGTAACCAGTAAGTTCCAAAGAAAGCCTTTATTTTCCAGGAAACTAACCTGTAAGTACCAAGAAAGTAGCCCTTTAGCACAGGTTGCATAACATAGTGCCATCAAAAGTTTTTCATGTCTATCTACATGTATAGAATCATTACATCTTACTGGTTGTCAACAACATGTCCCAGGTATACTGTTCACCATAAAAACTGCTGAAAGGAGACGGCTGGAAATGAAAAGCTATGATGTTGACTGAAGACCTTGCATAGAGGATTCAAATCCAGGTGTCCTCTGCTGCACACTGCCACACCTCATGCTTGCATAAATCCACAAACTTTTCTGTTTGTCAGCTACTTAAAAAAGGTAAACTTTTCTGTCTGTTTTTACTTATCCATACATTTCATCACAGTAACGTTTGGAAGAAGATACATAGCCCAAGTCGTACATGGATCTAGTTACTCCTCAGGGGAAAGCGATCCGTTAACAATCAGCAGGCGTACCCTTCCACCAGGTACATGTTTGTATATTTAGCGGATCAGTTCTTTTTTGAAAATAAGGAGGAACTTATTTTTCATCTCCATCTTCCTCGCTTATTTCTATTACAACCCAGATTGACTCTAAATGTGTTGCCTCCACAAACTCACTGGCATCTGCAGTGGAAGCCAAAATCTACAATAGTGGTTGTGTCTTTTCAGTGGCGCTGGTGTGTAGAGGTGGTCACACCTCGGTGCTGATGGCTCGGGTGTTGGTGTAGAAATCAGGAGGGCGACCGCGCTGGCTGTCCCTCAGCAGGGAGCCTCGGACAGCGGGCAGTGGCATCGCCAGCGCCTGGTTCTCATAGTGTGTTGGCATGTAGGTGACTCGCTCACCACCATTGCGTATCTCGTCAGTGGTACGGATGTAGAAGGGCGAGTCGTAGGGGGAGCAGGTGGGACAGTAGTGGTGTTGCCCCACGGTAAGTTTGGTGGGGTTAAAGGATTTGGCCGGCTCTGGTGGCGACAGCGACAGAGGGGTGATGATTGGTCCGTCCAGGCCAGTGATGCTGCAGGCGTTGCAAGCAAAGTGTTGCTGAGAGAGGGAGCCGCTGTCAGACCCATTCTTCTTACAGCAGTAGTACTATACACAAAGAAGTTTGAGAGAGTACGGATTGTAAATCAGCAATGAACTTTGGTGATCACATGTGGTCTATTAAGGTTCCTGAACAGGTTAGGATAGGTCTATGGTCTAAACAAAGCATGTTAATTGTATTTTGTGTTTCACAAAATTATTCTTAGATAATGACTCAGTTCTGTCTATTTTGAACTCCTTTCAGAATGAGCTGTTTTAGCAATTCTTCCCACTTTAAATCCAAATAAGCTGCTGCTGGCCTCCCTCCCAACTCAATATTTACATTTGCATGTAAAAATTACTTCAAACAGATGTGCAATTATACAACCATACATCTCTGAAAAGCATAAGCACAACCTGCACAACCAACAAGAATGCAGCAAGTGGTTTTTGGATAGTAAGTCCAGCAGCCATTGAAAGATCAGTGAGATCAATTTGACATTTTAATTTTTTGCACTTCAAAAACAAGAGTCTGTTTTAACACATTTCTGTGCTAAATACAGGCTTAATTACTAAATTAGATTAATATCACAATGAGTCTCTTTTGTCAGATCAAAAATATCTTCTGAAAATAACCTTTAGGCAGGCATTAAAGACATGGTGATATAGCATAAGTAAAGGCCTGAACACATATCAGTATGTGTGCAGTTAATCTATAAAATTAAACATAAATGATAATAAATGCACTTTTCAGTAATAAAAACAATATCGACTATGACTGTAGATAAAATGAGTGACAAAAGTCTAAATAGGAAATTACTTTCTAGTTTTTTATTGTTTTAACCCATATTTGGGATTTGTTTTGACCTGAAAGTGGGCCTTCCCTCTATGAAACCGTTGTGGTGCCAGACCTTTACTGTGTGAAACCCATCCGGCGACGTCGTACCTGGAGTCTACAGTAGCAGAGCACGGCTATGATACACAGAAGTATCACTGTGGCCAGTATTCCTCCAGTTATGACAACAGTTCCAGCTGTCATCCGACCAGCTCTCCATCAAACTCTGAACACAGAAACAGAAATCATCAAAGGGAAAACAGGAAGTTTACACACCTAGGAATTAAATTAATGATGTGCTGTCCAGTGCAGGGATTTACATACACACAGTGGAACAAATGTCTAAATGAACTATAATAGTTGATCAGTTTTTTGGTTGAGGCCTTCCATGTTTAGATAATTATTCCCTCTGGTTTTGAATGTTGTGCAGCTGGAAGGACTTTTTCTTATATCTTATTTTTGAATTCCTGAACTATTATGTTCGCATTTTAAATTATCGTATAGTTGGCTTTGGTTTCTTTAAACACATTTTTAAAAAGATCAAGGTTGCACTTATTCAACAGAAATTGAGCTGATTACATTTTTCTTACTGATGGAAACAGGCATTTTTTTATATCGTTATATGTTCAGAGATTGAGGTCTAAAATTTCAAGTCGAAATTCACAGATTGAAGAAGTATTTATATTTCTGGGTTTACAAAATTACTGCACAATAAATTATTTTATTTCAAATACCTGATTCAGTGTGATTGGATTCAAAATTTTTAGTAAATTCCAGTAAATGCCAAAAATAACAGCAATTGTAATTTATGTATTTTCTAGTCCTACAGAAAATGTGTTCCTTTTAAACATTAAGCTTTTTATTAAAGAGAAATTGTCTTGTTGTGCAGACCTAGTTGCTACTAAGCAATACTCACGTTCAGCAAAGTAGCTTAACACCTGAAAGCAGACAAACAACGTATCATGTAAAATGAGCGGCACATACAGTTTGTTGTATTGTTAGTAGGTAAGACACACTTACATCAGGGGAGTGTTTGGAAGTTATTTGGTTTGAACTTAGAGTCAAAGGAAATTCTCTATGGACATTTCTAAACAGAGGGAAGAAAAAAATCAGCATCAGAGAAATTGAACTGAAGCTACACCGACTGTCTTCCTCCACAAGGTGGCACTAAGAGAACAGAAAAATATCTCTCAAACCGGATGAAGCATCGTTTAATTTTACACTCCTATAAAAAGAGGGAGCATTAAAATAAAAACATTTGCAGAACAAATATCAGAAAAATTCATACAGCTCGTCTGCTTCTCTCTCTTTCTTGCGCAGGAAAACACTCAGAGACACACATGGATCACCAGAAGACAGCGGCAGTAAAAGTGATTTAGGAACGAAGGTTGCAGCTGATTGGAGTTGGTGTGCAGTCTGAGGCTTGTCCAGGTGAAGTGAAATCTATTACTGCTGATAAAAACATGTCCAACCAGCCCAGATTGGTGTGCAGGCAGAGCCTGTAATTTGAAGCAATGAGAGAAAGAAGCACCGTAATGGAAAAAAAAAAAGACTAAATGGACAAGCTAGCCTAAAGTCTGAGGACTGTAATTATAACAGTAATTAAGACAGCTCACCAGGACAATGCAGAAAGGCTCTCACTGAGAGAGCAAACCTTGTTGCATCATATTCAAAAAGACTTCAGGATCAGCAAAGTTTCCAGTCTTTGGTTTGCAGCATTCCAGTGGTGGGAAGTAACGAAGTACAAGTACTTCGTTACTGTACTTAAGTACAGT